CAGACAAAAGGCTTTCACGTTTTCCCCGTTCAGTATGATGTTGACTGTGTGTTTGTTATATATGGTCTTTATTATTTTGGGGTATGTTTCTTCTATACCCAGTTTGTTGAGGCTTTTTATCATAATAGGTTGAATTTTATTGAATGCTTTTTTGGCATCTATTGAAATAATCATATAGTTTTTGTTCTTGGTTCTTTCTGTGAATGTGATGTATTACATTTGTTGACTTGTGTATGTTGAGCCATCCTTTCACCCCTGGGATGAATCTCACTTGATCATGATGAGTGTTCTTTTTAATGTGTTGTTGAATTCATTTTGCTGGTATTTTGTTGAGCTTTTTTTTTTTTTTTTTTCATCTGTGTTCATTAGTGATATTGGCCTATAGTTTTCTTTCCTTTTTTTGTTGTATCCTTGTCTCGTTTTGGTATCAGGGTAATACTCGACTCATAGAATGAGTTTGAAGTACTCTCCCCTCTCCAGTTTTTTTGAAGCGTTTTAGGAGAATTTGGTATTCGTTCTTCAATGTTTGGTAGAATTCAGCAGTGAAATTATTACATCCTGGGCTTTTTTTAATAGGAGACTTTTTGTTATAGTTTTGATCTTATTATCCATTATAGGTTTGCTAAGGATTTCTATTTCTTCATGGTTCAATCTTATTAGATTATATATATCCAAAAAGTTATCAATTTCTTCCGTGTTTTCCAATTTGTGGGTGGATAGTTGTTCATTATAGTTGCTAATTATCCTTGTGGTTTCAGTTGTTAGGTATCTTTTTTAATTTCTGAATGTGTTTGTTTGGGTCTTCCCTATGTGTTTTTAGTTAGTTTAGCTAAAGGTTTATCAATTTTGCTTATCTTTTTAAAAAACTAACTTTCATTTCATTGTTTGTGTTTTTTAAAATATCAACTTCATTTATGTCTGTTCTGATTTATGTTATTTCTTTCCTACTACTAATTTTGGGTTTGATTTGTTCTTGTTTTTCTAGTTCCTTGAGGTTCATCATAAAGTTGATTATTTGAAATATTTTTACTTTTTAATGTAGATGTTTATTAATGTAAACTTCTGAGTATTGTTTTTTCTATATTCCATAGATTTTGGTGTGTTGTATTTACATTCTAATTTGTTTCAAGAAACTTTTAAATTTCCTTTTTAATTTCTTCCTTGACCCATTGGTTGTTCGGAAGCATGCTGTTCTATTTCTATGTGTTTGTGTAGTTTCTGAGATTCCTCTTGTTATTGACTTCTAGTTTTATTCCACTGTGGCAAGAAAAGATACTTGATATGATTTTTTCTTATTTGAATTTTTTGAGACTCATTTTATGACCTATGATACATTATATTCTGGGGAATGTTCCCTGTGCTGATTGAAAGAATGTGTTCTGCAGTTGATGAGTGAGGTGTTCTCTGAATCTCAAATAGGTCTATTAGGTCTTGAGTGTAGTTTAACTCTGAGGTTTCTTTGTTGGCTCTCTGTTTGGTTGATCTGTCCACTACTGAGTGCAGTGTTGAAATCCCCTGCAATACTAATTGCCTACTATGTGGCAATCTACCTTTCCCTTTAGATCTGTTTGCTCTATATACTTGGGTGCTCCGATGTTGGGTGCATAGATATTTATAGTTGTTATATCCTCTTGCTGAATTGACCCCTTTATCATTATATATTGACCTTCTTTGTCTCTTTTTATAGTTTTTGACTAGTAGTATCTTTGATCTGTTATAAATATCGCTATTCTTGATCTTTTTCGGCTTATCTTTTTCCATCCCTTCACTTTCAGTATATATGTATCTTTATAGGTGAAGTGGATTTCTTTTGGCAGCACGTAGTTTGGTCTTCTTTCTTTATCAGTTTAGCTACTCTATGTCTTTTAATTGGAGGGTTGAATCCATTTATATCCATGTTATTATTGATAAGGACTTACTACTGCCATTTTGTTTCCTGTTTTCTCGTTGTTTTGTAACTCCTCTTTTCCTTTCTTACTGTCTTTCTTTTGTGGTTATTTTCTCTGGTAGTACATTTTAATTTGTTCCTTTTTTATCTTAGTGTATCTACGATAGATTTGTGCATTGTGGTTACTATGAAGCACACAAAAAGCATCTTTTAGATAATGCAAGTTATTTTTAAAAATGACAACTTATCTCAGATCACAAGGGAATAATAGAAACAAAGAAAGAAAAAACTTAAAAAAAAAAAAAAAAAACCTATACTTTAACTCCATCCCTCCTCCCCATTTTGACACTTTGTTGTCTTTGTTGACATGTTTTAATGTTGCCCGTCTCTTAATAGGTTGCTTTAGCTATCCTCATTTTTGACAGATTTCTCTTTTGGGCTTTATACCAGAAGTATGAGCAGATTGTACATTGAAATTACAGTACTGGGTTTTTTTGAGTTGTCTTCGTACTTAATTTTACCAATGAATTTTATACCTTAAGTTGTTTTTTTTTTTTTTTTGTACATTATTATTTTTTATTTCAGATTAAAAATCTCCCTTTAGCATTTCTGTAAGACAGTCTGATGGTGGTGAATTCTTTTGGCTTTTACTTACCTGGGAAAAACTTTATCTCTGCTTCATATTTGAAGGATAGCTTTGCTGGATGTAATATTCTTGGATGACAGTTATTTTCTTTCAGCATTTTGAAAATATTGTCCTACTCTTTCCCATCCTGCATGGTTTCTGTTGAAAAGTCTATTGCCACACTAATTGGAATTCCTTTATATGTTATTTGTTATTTTCTCTTGCTGCTTTTAGGATTCTCCCTTTGTCTTGACTTTTGAGAGTTTGATTATTATATGCCTTGGAGTAGTCTTACTTGGGTCAAATCTGGTGTTCTCTGACTTTCCTGTCTTAATATTTGTATCTTTCTCAAGTTTTGGAAAGTTTTCTGTTATTATTTCTTTAAATAAGCTTTCTGCCCCTTGCTCTTGCTCAATGCCCTCTTGAACACCAATAATCCTTAAATTTGTCCTTTTGAGGTAACTTTCTATATCTTGTAGGTAATCTTCATTCCTTTTCATTCTTTTCTTTTCTCCTCCGACTGTGCATTTTCAAATAGCTTGCCTTTAAGATCACTTTTGAGATCAGTGATTCACTGATTGTTCCCTCTGCTTTATCCTTTTTGCTGTTGAGAGCCTCTACAGAATTTTTTCAATTTTGCAAATGTATTTCTCAGTTCCAAGATTCTGATTTTTTCAATTATTATTTCAATCTGTTTGTTAAATGTCTGTGAGGATTTTCTAAATTTCTCTTCTGTCTGTTTTTTTTCAGAGATCACTGAATGTCATTAAAACTACTGTTTTGAAATCTTGACCGGAGAGCTCACATATCACCATCTTCTTAGGGTTAGTCACTGGTTTATTGCTCTGTCCATTTGAGGAGGTCATGGTTTCCTGATTATTGATTTTCTTGTGGATGTACATCTATATGTTCACATTGAAAGATTATTTATTCCAGTCTTCTCTCTCTAGCTTGTTTTGTTTTTATTAGATATAGATGCTTGGTGATTCTTTGTAATTTACCTTTTGAATTTCTTAATTTTTTCCCTCCTAGGTCACTGCCTCCTTTTTGATACTAGATGATATTGAAAGCCCAGGTTTGCTCAGCTCTAACAAATGATTGGACCACTGTGTGTCCTGAGTGAGGCAGGTCTCAAGAGGGATATCCCAACAGTGTGGGAAGGCTGACTGAGTTTCATGCTCAGAGGAACTTTGGAACATACCTGCTCTAACATGGTGCTGCTCAGCAGCCATTCTGATATAGTGTCTCTTTTGGCTGAGTTACAGAGCAGTTTTCAGGGATGGGAGTGGGTGTTCCACCTTCTCCCATTGTTTCTGGCTGCCTTAAGGATATTTCTTCCTTCAGGCACTCATGATGTTTCCTGTGGGTTGAGGCAGAGACAGGCCTCCTACCAGAGAACTTAAGATGATAGAGAAGCTTGTTGTCAACCTCAGTCTCACTTTTTCTAGTGTAGAAACCATGAGTCAGGGGAAGTTTTTATGTGTTTGATGCTGGGCAGATTTCAGGGAGAGGTGTTGCAGACATGAAAATCTGATTGTCTTACCATCTGCATGGAACTTTTTTCATTTCTCTGTGGCATGAACTGACTAGTATGCACAGTTGAGTTCTGGGATATTATTAGTTATAATCTTGGTGCTGTATATATATTTTTTGGCTTCCTGTAGTAGGAAATGAAGCCAGCTTGCTTCTATGCCACCAGCTTGGAATCCAAGGAACCAATCTCATTGAGTCCATACTGTTTTCCAAGCACAGTGTTGGTTGCTTTACATATGTTCTTGTGTTTACTCTTCACTCATAAATATGTGAATTGATGCTCAGGAGTTCACTTAATAAAATCATTTTGATAAAAAAATACCAGAGACAAAGTTTTAACCGGATCTATGTCCTATCCCCAAATTAATTCTTTGCCTTCTAAACCTTGTTGCTTTATCATTCACCTCTTCAAATAAATAATTTTCTTATGGCAGTTAAGTATTATTTGGTGCCTTATCAAGAGTAGCACCATGCCCCCCATTAATTCTGCTGAGCCATGTTGATGTTTTATGGCAGATCACAGGGAAGGGGCAGAGTGGAGTATGGGAACAAGAGTATTATCTGACTTGGAAGACTTGGGGCCTGCTTTTCCCTTTGTTCTGACACTGAGAAAAAAAACTGTCATATTACTAAGATGGGGAAAGCCAACCACAGATATCTCAGATATGGCAGTATGATGGATTTTCAGGAAAGGAGAGAAATTAATAAGACAGAAAAGTTATCTGTAGCAATTTAACAAATAGCTTTAATGAAGTAAGGAGCAAAAAAGTAAATCTATATATACTCCTTCAGCAAGTAGGCAAGGTAAGATTTAAAAAGATTTTGAGTAGATAAGATGAATAGGAGACCAGAGATTCGTACTGGGCCAGTTTGCAAAGACACAGAGATCCCTGCTTCCCATTTTGAAAATACTGTCTTCCTTACAGAGTCTTCTACATTCATGCTGTAGAAGCTATGAAAGTCGTGGGAAACTATGGAGTCAACGCTGCAAACTCAGGCACTGATAGGTCCAGAGAGCACTTGACCTGTCTTAGAAGGAATGATATTGTGATTATATACATTAGCTTTTATTTGTGGTTTCTGCCTCATAACTCCCATAGCCCTTGTTATAATGTTGGGGTGCTTTAGGCCTCAGAAGTTGGCATCAGAAAACAGAATCTCTTTCTCTGACCTTCCCCTGCTTGCCTTTCACCTACTTCTTTTTCTCCCCCCAGGCAGACTTTTCAAACTAAAAATATACTCTATCCCTTACCTTTCTGTCTAGGAGCTGGTCATAAAGAAATTCTTTGACTTATCTTGTCTGATTGTGGGTCATAAAACCCTCATTTCAGAAGGAGTCCTGCTCCATATCTGAAGGAAGGAATGCTACACAGAGAGGCCATGAAGAATCTGAACAGAAAAGGCCTTGCTGAGCTTGTCCATTCAGTCTATTAGTATTAGATTATGCACTTTTTGTCCAGTCACATTTCTACACAGTTGCCAATTATGGCTGTCCAGTGAAGTCTCTATTAAAGGATCAAGAGAACAGGGTTTGGAGGACTTCCAGGTAATTGAACACATGGAGGTTCCTGGAGGGTGATGCACCCAAGAAGGCATAGAGTCTCTGTGCTCCTTCCTCCATACCTTGTCCTATGCATATCTTCTATGTGGTGTACTTGGGTATCCTTTGCAATATCCTTTATAATAAACTGGTCAACATAAGTTAAATGTTCCCCTGAGTTCTGTGAGCCACTTTAGCAAATTAATGGACTCTGAGGAGGAAGTCATGGGGACCCCAGTCAGAAGAACATGTAAAGCAACCTGGAGCTTGCAATTGGCATCTGAAGGGAGAGGACAGTCTTGGGTACTAAGCCTTCAACCTGTAGAATCTGACACTATTTCCAGGTAGACAGTGTCAGAATTGAACTGAATTAGAGGACACCTAGCTGATGTCTGCACAGAATTGCTTTCTTGCTTGTTTGTTATCTGGGGACAAAAAAACACCACACATTTGGTCACACAATTCTGTGTTGTTGGTGTGACAGCAGAGGAAGGTCAATTTGTGGTTTTTCCACTCAGGGAAGGTGAAGCTCCTTCTCAGCTCCAGTCCGTTGCAATTGTGGAAAGACTACTCCAGTTGCCAGATTTTCCCGTTTCTAAGAGAAGCCCAAAATTTCTACTGATATTTGGAATTGCCTCGTTTTTAGATATTGACAATAAATTTTTAAAATTTACAACCAAAGCTCAGAAAATTACCCAGTTCCAAGCTATATTTGGCCACAGCCCTCTGGTATTTGTCTGCGAAATAGATCTTAGGAGGGAAGGATGCAAAATTGAAGCTAGTAACAGAAGAGGCTCAAGAGGAGTAAGGTGTGAACTGGGTGTACTGCCTTGGCAAGGTGGCCTGTGATTCCTGGCCCAACCAGTGCCTGTTTCTGGGTTGTCGGGAAGGACCTTATCTTAGATCCTAGTTTCTAAGCCCCTCTCCTACCCAAGGTGGATCCCAAGGCAGCCCTCCACTGTCTGGCTTTAGATAAGACCCTACAGCAAAAAGCCAATGGATGACCCTCTCAGACCTATTGTTATCTATATGTGATCTTCAAGGCTGTGGTAGAGAATTCTCTTGTAAATGGAATGCAAAAGCAAGTGGGAAAATTTTCTTTTTTCTGTGTCAGTCAATAGTGATCATTAGCCTTCTCCCCATCCCACAGAATGCCTCTTCCTTGCAAGAACCAGATACTGTCGCCTGGAACCTTGTGTGATGGAGATGAGGTATGTACTGAGGTGCCCTAGAATAAAGAAAAGTGGAAATCTCTCTGGATGAGATCCTCATGCTAAACTGTAGCCCAATAACTGGCAACACTGACCACAGGAGTAGAAATGTTGATGATGCTCGACTTACATTGTCTGTCATTGATGTCTGTGTGCTTGGCAATTTGTACATGGTGATCAGACATCACCAGGTCTCATACCTGCACCCTATTATGAGTTCAAGACTCCCATGAAGTCAGTGAGAAGAACAGAAAGTAGGATGCTATATGATATTTGAATAGTATAGCACAGAGTATAAAATGATATTTTGTGTGAGATGAAAATTCTTTATCTGATACTTCTAACTTTGTCTTAATTAATGTCTTTCATTCAGTGACTTAAGTTAAGTTTGCTCTTACATGGTGTGAGGAAATTGTGAAAGTGTGTTTTTTTTTAAGCAAGGGAGAGAGTCGGTATAGAATTTTTGGTAAGTAATATTTACCTTTTTGGTGTTTGAATTATTTTGATCATCAGCATAAAGATTGCGATCTGCCAAGATTGGATTTTATTTAGAATTTCTGGGAAAATACTAATGTATTTTCCCATATAACATTCCTGTGGAAGGAGTGCTATAGAAGTTTTTACAGAAACCTGTTTAGCACTTTAAATGCCAGTGGATTTTTTAAGGGTGACCTAAACTATCAACAACCACAACAAAATCTGTTTTGCCACCCTACCATGGTGGCTGTGTAATTTGTAGATGAATCCTGGTCAGAAAGCTGGACTGACATCTAAATATAAGGATATTCTTTGATGCCTAAATTGCATCTTGAATTTCTAACAACAGGATGGCACATATGAAATATTTGCAAGAGCCTACTAACATGCTTCATAGACTAGCATTTACTGGCTGTGGTGGACAGATAATTGCTGTGTGTGATGTGTGAGATGTGTGAGCTTTCTCCTTTTATACTAGCAAACAATTTAGAAGAGTTTAGAAAGACTGAAACTGCCTGAACATTTGCGTCTGAATGAGAGTTTTGGAATAAGACTGGTTTTTTTTTTTAAGAAAAAGATATTTAATAACAAAATTATATCCCAATTCTTGTAACAAAAGTCCAAAAGTCAATGGAAATTAATTTTTCTGTCCTCTGTACCCTTCGTACCATTTTTTTTTAAAGAAAACTGTTTTTATTAGAGAATAGAAAAACAACAGGGTCAAAAAAAACCAAAAGATAATTCTTTGAAGAATTCAACAAAAGTGATGAACCTTTAGCTAAACAGACTAAAAAAAGAAGAGAAGATACAAATAAATAAAATCAGAAATTAAAGTGGGAATATTGCTGCTTACCATATAGGAATAAAAATAATTACCGGAAAATAGTGTGGGCAATTGTAGGCCACCAAATTAAATAGGCTGGATGAAATGGACAAATTCCTAAAAACACACAATCTACCAAAACTGACTCAGAAAATGTTAAAATTCTGAACATATCTGTAACAAGTAAAGAGATTGAATCAGTAATCAAAGTTGTTTACTTTTCAACAAAGGAAAGTCCAGGATTGAATGACCACACTGGGGAATTCTACCAAGCACTTAAAGAGCATTGACATTGGTTCTTTTCAAATTTTTCCAAAACACAGAAGAGGAGGGAACTAACTCATCTTGTGAAACCCATATTACCCTGATAGCAGAGCCAGACAAAGATAACCACAAGAAAAGAAAACTAGACTTCAATGCCCCCTCTGAATACAGATACAAAAGTCGTTAACAAAATACTAGCAATCTGAATTCAACAGCATATTGAAAAGATTATACACCATGGCCAAGGGAGATTTATGCAGGAAGGCAAGGGTGGGTCAACGTAAAATTCAATGTAATTTTACATTGAAAATTAATCAATGTAATACACCATGCTAATAGAACAAAGGAAAAATGCCACATGATCATCTCAATTGATGTAAAAAAAAACGCATTTGACATAATCCAAAACACTTTCATCATGAAGATACTCAGACAGCTAGAAACACTGGGGATCTTACTTAATATAATAAAGGGAATTTATGAAAAATGCTCAATGGTGAAAGACTGAAAACTTTACCTCTAAGACCAGAAATAAGACAAGGATGTCCAATTTCACCACTACTGTTCAAAATTGTACTGGAAGATCTAGCTAGGTCAATTAGGCAAGAAAAAGAAGTAAAAGGCATCCAAATTGGAAAGAAAGGAAGGCATCCAAACTATCTTTTTTTTTTTTTTACAGATGACATGATTCTATGTATATAGAAAACTTTTAAAATACTACTATAGCTAATAAATGAGTTACCAAAATCTCAGGGTACAAAATCAACACCAAAATCAGTGTGTTTCTACACAACAGCAGTACACAATCTGAAAAGGAAATTAAGAAAATAATTCCATTTACAACAGCTTCCAAAGGAATAAAATACCTAGGAATAAATTTAACCATGGAAATAAAAGACTTGTACACTGAAAATTACAAAACATTGCTGAAACAAATCAAAGAAGAACTAAATAAATGAAAGGACTATGTTCATGAATTAAAATGCTTAATATTGTTAAGATGCAATACTACCCAAAGTGATCTACAAATTCAATGAAATTCTTATGAATATTTTAACAGCCTTTTTTTAAATTCACGGAAATGAGAAAGTTAATCCTCAAAACCATATAGAACTGCAAGGAGCTCCAAAATGCCAAACAATATTGAAAAAGAAGAATAAAGTTGGAGGACTCATAATTTCTGACTTCAAAACTTAACTGTAAAGCTACAGTGATTAAAAAAAACACTGTAGTACCGGTATAAAGTAGACATAAAAAATCAACGGAAATAAACCAATACATATATGGCTAATTGATTTTTGACAAGGGTGCCAAGACTATTCAACAGGAAAAGAATGGTATCTTCAATAATGTTTCTGGGACAAGTACACATGCATACACAAAAATGAAATTAGACCCTTCTTTACACCATATATAAAAATTAACTCAAGATGGATCAATGGCCTGCATGTAAGTGCAAAACCTTAATACTCTTAGAAGAAAGCATTAGGGTAAGTTTTTATGGCCTTGGGCTCAATAATGGATTTTTAGATAGGACACCAAAAACTTGAGCAAGCAAAGAAAAATGAAATAAATTGACCTTCATAAAAATTAAAATCCTTTGTGCATCAATGAATATTATCAAGAAAATGAAGACAATTCATAGGATGGGAGAAAATATTTGCTAGTCATATATCTTATAAGGGTCTAGTATCTATATTACATAAAGAACTCTTACAAG